CAGAGTCAGAGGATACAGGCGCAATCAGGAATCAATGCTGGACACTAGCTGAAGAACTCTCAGCACTGAGGGCATGCAGGGTGAGAGTTTAAATAGGCCTTTTAAAGCCATGATTAGATGTAAGCTCATGCACACCAATCAGCGTGTGCGGTGTTGCGCGTGAACGCGTGCATCAACGTCCGATTATGAGCAATATTAGCACGAAAACCCTCACACATGCATGCGCTATGGCTCTTACAGTACCGGTTCTATGACTGCTTGCTGGGCTTCCCTTACATTTGGTGGTCAGTGAAGGGCCCTAGTACACTGGTGGTCAGTGGGAAGAATTCTCCTTATGTTGTTGGTCTTCAAAGGACCCTAGTACACTGATGGGAAGAATGCTTGATATAGTGATGGCCAGTGAAGGGCCCTAGGGAAAGAGTGACCCCATTACAGCTACCTGAAAAGATCATTGGTAGCAGTGGTAGCCTCTCAGGGGTACAAAATGTTCATTGCTCAAAGAAGCCTTAGCAACCTCTGGTGGAACCCTAGTTGAGAAAGTGCAGCATGTAACCCATGGGGGGGGAGGGGGGGTGTAGTTTGGCTCAAAAGACGTCTTTGCTTGTTAAACAAAATTAATTATATCAGTTTAGCGTTTTAGTAAATACAAAATTAGAGATGACTACTCTCAAGGGGAATCTGCCTATATAGCGCTCTCATGTCAGGTGTACTCGAAAAACATATAGGGGTGGGGGCTTGCATACAGCTGTGGAGAACATAGGCATACATTGCATTAAGTGGATGTGGCCCAGCAGGCCTGTTTAACACTTTCGCTGCCGTAGCATTTTTTTTTGCACAGATGTTAAAATTATCATTCTGGGCCTGAAAATTACTTAAAAATCTAATAAGAATTGTTACACATGCGCACTTAACAAAAGGTTTAGGTTTGCCCCCCGACTGATAAGATGGATCCAGATCCTGTATACCTCCCGGCGAGGCTTAAAGTTAATACTCTGGTCTCCCCTCCTTCTGCCATACCTAGAGGCACCCGCCAAGACTGCCCACTCTCTTCTGTTTTATTTGCCTTGGTGATGGAACCTTTGGGCTGCCTTGTTCGCACCTCTCTGCATATAAAAGGGTTACTTGTACACTCCATAGAGGAGACAATTTCCCTCTATGCTGATCATATGCTTATTTACTTGTCTGACCCTAATTCATCTCTTTTTCACCTTCTCAAATATCTGTATTTGGTGCTTTTTCGGGCTTTAGGGGGAATTGGGATAAATCCCTTCTCTTCCCCTTGGATCCTTCCACGACTCGAAATGTCCTCTCCTCCAGATTGAAAATAGTACAGGACTTAAAGTATTTGGGAATCCGAGTTTAACTCCCAATCTCCACCTATGAGTGTCCTGCTTTCCTATTCATTTTTCCATGGTAAAGATATCCATTACAGTGAATCTCAACCTAAGCCTTTATCAAGCAAGGTTCTCTGGAATCCTAGAGTTCATGGTGTAGTCCTGCCTCTATCCATCAATGTAAGGAGCAATCTTCCCACTGACCATCAATGTAAGGAGCAATCTTCCCACTGGCCCCTAATGTAAGGAGCATTCTTCCCACTGACCATCAATGTAAGGAGCAATCTTCCCACTGGCCCCTAATGTAAGGAGCATTCTTCCCACTGCCCGTTATGTGAGGAGCATTCTACCCACTGACCATCAATGTAAGGAGCAATCTTCCCACTGACCACCAATGTAAGGAGCATTCTACCCACTGACCATCAATGTAAGGAGCAATCTTCCCACTGACCATCAATGTAAGGAGCAATCTTCCCACTGGCCCCTAATGTAAGGAGCATTCTTCCCACTGCCCGTTATGTGAGGAGCATTCTACCCACTGACCATCAATGTAAGGAGCAATCTTCCCACTGACCATCAATGTAAGGAGCAATCTTCCCACTGGCCCCTAATGTAAGGAGCATTCTTCCCACTGCCCGTTATGTGAGGAGCATTCTACCCACTGACCATCAATGTAAGGAGCAATCTTCCCACTGACCACCAATGTAAGGAGCATTCTTCCCACTGACCTCCAATGTAAGGAGCATTCTTCCCACTGACCTCCAATGTAAGGAGCATTCTTCCCACTGCCCATCAATGTAAGGAGCATTCTTCCCACTGACCTCCAATGTAAGGAGCATTCTACCCACTGACCTCCAATGTAAGGAGCATTCTACCCACTGCCCATCAATGTAAGGAGCATTCTTCCCACTGCCCATTATGTGAGGAGCATTCTACCCACTGACCTCCAATGTAAGGAGCATTCTACCCACTGACCTCCAATGTAAGGAGCATTCTACCCACTGACCTCCAATGTAAGGAGCATTCTTCCCACTGACCTCCAATGTAAGGAGCATTCTTCCCACTGACCATCAATGTAAGGAGCATTCTTCCCACTGACCTCCCATGTGAGGAGCATTCTTCCCACTGCCCATTATGTGAGGAGCATTCTACCCACTGACCTCCAATGTAAGGAGCATTCTACCCACTGACCTTCAATGTAAGGAGCATTCTACCCACTGCCCATTATGTGAGGAGCATTCTACCCACTGCCCATTATGTGAGGAGCATTCTACCCACTGACCTCCAATGTAAGGAGCATTCTACCCACTGACCTCCAATGTAAGGAGCATTCTTCCCACTTCCCATTATGTGAGGAGCATTCTACCCACTGACCATCAATGTAAGGAGCATTCTACCCACTGACCTCCAATGTAAGGAGCATTCTACCCACTGCCCATTATGTGAGGAGCATTCTACCCACTGACCTCCAATGTAAGGAGCATTCTACCCACTGCCCATTATGTGAGGAGCATTCTACCCACTGACCATCAATGTAAGGAGCATTCTACCCACTGACCATCAATGTAAGGAGCATTCTACCCACCACCAGTATAAGGGATCATTTTCCACTGGCCACCAATGTTAGAGAGCACTACAATTTTCACTGTCTGTGTTTTTGTGTCAAATCTGCTAAGTAAGCTAGATACTGTAATGTTTTATTTATTCTTAGGGTTATTTCAAGGGTTCCTCCATGTTAAAAAAACTTGAGAACAGCTGATCTAAACCCTCCTGAATAAACATTATACCTTGTGTAATTGTGTTAAACTGAGGCCTCCAATGCTTCCTGTGTAAGGCTGGCCAGGCTGCCTTATAACCTTTACATGCAGCAGCATTGTCACCCTAAATGCATGTTCTCATTGTGGAATACAACATGAAATTCTGACACATAGAGAGCCAACACCAGCATCATTCTTTCCTGACGTCCTACAACCTCATTCATGTGACATCTAGCACCCGGATCAATGTATTTCTGCAGTGACTATAGGGTTGCCACCTGTCCAGGATTCACCCGGACAGTCCGGGTTTTGAATACTGTGTCCGGGTTTAATGGCAGCAGAAACCCGGACACAAGATGTCAGGCAGAAAGGGGCAACCAAAAATAAGATAGGGGCTACTGGCCCCCAACTGAAAATAGTCTCAACTGTGATACTTATATATGAATGGGTGGCACTATTTACATATGAATAAGCCGTGACTCATTCTCCCCATAAATTGTCAGCGCGTCGCTAGAGTGTTCAGGTTTCGCTTGAAGAAAAGGTGGCAACCCAAAATGGCTACAGACTGGTGTTTGTGATCAGGAAGCTTGTACAAATCAATGACAAGCTAACACTGTGCATGGCTGTCCTCATGAATTCACACATAGAGCAATTACCTGCAGTTAGGGACAGATGTGTGTCAACATTTTGTGTCCATGGCCGCTCATGTGTTCCTAACTGCAGGCAGTCGCTCCATGTTTGATTATATGTGAACACCTGCGGAGCCTGTCATTGATTTGTACAGGCTGAATGGCCGCAGATAATTGTAAACTTCTGCCGTAGGAGGCGTGAAAATGCGCATATCTGGGCGGTGGACTGCCGCGTAAATGAGGCCTGAAACTAGGGTTGCCACCTGTCCAGAATTCACACAGACAGTCCGGGTTTTGAATGCTGTGTCCGGGTTTCAGCTGCCATGAAACCCGGACACCTCATTCAAAAGATGTTAGGCAGACAGGGGCAACCAAAATTAAGATAGGGGCTACTGGCCCCCCACTGAAAATAGTCTTGACTGTGATATTTACATATTAATGGGTGGCGCTATTTACATACGAATAAACCGTGACTTGAAAAAATATCAATGCTTTGCTTAGGGTTGCCACCTGTCCAGGATTCACCCGGACAGTTCGGGTTTTGAATGCTGTGTCCGGGTTTCATGGCAGCAGAAACCCGGACACATGATGTCAGGCAGACAGGGGCAACCAAATTTAAGATAGGGGCTACTAGCCCTCAATTGAAAATAGTCTCAACTGTTATACTATATGAATATGAATTATCAAACGAAAAAGCCATAACTCATTATCTGTCAGTGTGTCGCTAGAGTGTTCGGGTTTCGCTTGAAGAAAAGGTGGCAACCCTAGCTTTGCTAGAGTGTCCGGTTTTCACTGGAAGAAAAGGTGGCAACTTTACCTGAAACCCCTTTCTCTGGACTGCCCACCACAGTTCTGCCTCTCACCAGAGGTTACAGCAAACATTCTAGTACAAGAAATAGGGGGAGCGGTTGTCATGGGAACAGAAAGTCAGGACAGCAATAACAACATTGTCAGAAGTTTTAAGTCTTGACTAAAAATGTCCCACCATCTGTTGGGGAAATCCCCCTGTGGCACAGACAACAAATACAACCTTGCAGCAGTACTTTCTCTACTCTATGCAAAATAAAACAGAAAATAGCATTTTCTTTCTGTGTGACAGTGTTCTGTTGATGTTCGGGCTGCAGTATTAACAGCATTGGCCAGGACGGGAGGAGTCCAAAGGGTGGCGCTGTTAATGCTGCAGACAGTGAATAGGCCGCCTATGTTGATGTTCGAGATGCAGTGCTCCTCCCGTCCACAGGGTGTCGCTTCGGGTGCTGCAGACATCAGTAGCGGCGCTCTGTAATAGTGTAGAGGCGAGGTGTGTACCCAGCCAGCACTCGCCTGTCTGCTCTTCTCTCGCTATGTCGTGTTTGCTCTGCTGCTTCAGGTGGTGCGGGGATGGCGGCTCCGGACACATTCCGCTCAAGGAGATGCCGGCTGTACAGCTGGACACACAGCACATGGGTGAGACATCGGGGTGGGGTGTACAGGACTGGGGAGGAGGCGGGGAATAGCTGGCAGAATGTGTTTGGGTGAGAGCCCCCTTCCCCTCCTCCATAGACTATCTGTTAGCTTCTACTTCCTGCAAACGCAGTGCTGTCACCAGGCCCCATATTGTATGGCACTTCCTGCACAGTGCTGTCACCAGGCCCCATATTGTATGGCACTTCCTGCAAAAACAGTGCTGTCACCAGGCCCCATAGTGTATGGCACTTCCTGCACAGTGCTGTCACCAGGCCCCATATTGTATGGCACTTCCTGCACAGTGCTGTCACCAGGCCCCATATTGTATGGCACTTCCTGTACAGTGCTGTCACCAGGCCCCATATTGTATGGCACTTCCTGTATAGTGCTGTCACCAGGCCCCATATTGTATGGCACTTCCTGCATAACCTCCTGTCTAGTGCCGACAACCGGCCCTATAATTGTATGGCACTTCCTGTATAGTGCTGTCACCAGGCCCCATATTGTATGGCACTTCCTGTATAGTGCTGTCACCAGGCCCCGTATTGTATGGCACTTCCTGTATAGTGCTGTCACCAGGCCCTATAATTGTATGGCACTTCCTGTATAGTGCTGTCACCAGGCCCCATATTGTATGGCACTTCCTGTATAGTGCTGTCACCAGGCCCCATATTGTATGGCACTTCCTGTATAGTGCTGTCACCAGGCCCTATAATTGTATGGCACTTCCTGCACATTGCTATCATCGGGCTTCATATATACACCAATCAGCCATAACATTCTGACCACAGGATCAACCAGGCAAGTGTAAGGATTTGACCGGTTTTGACAAGGACCAAATTGTGATGAGTAGATGACTGGGTCAGAGCAACCACTGCAGCTCTTGTGGGCTGTTCCCGGTCTGTAGTGGTCCAAGGACTGAAGACCAGTGACAGGATCATGGGTCAGGCTCATTGATGTACATGGGGAGTGAAGATTGACCAGTGTATTTCGATCCAATAGAAGAGCGACTGTAGCTCAAATTGCAGTAAAAGTTCATGCTGGTTCCCATAGAAAGGTGTCTGTACACACAGTGCTTTGTAGTTTGCTGTGTATGGGGGCTGCATAGCTGCAGACCAGTCGGGGTGCCCATGCTGACCTGTGTCCACTGCCACAAGCTTCTATAATGGGCACATGAGCATCAGAACTGGACCATGGAGCAATGGAAGAAGGTGACCTGTTCTGATGTATCATATGGATGGCTGTGTGTGCCAGTTACCTGGGGAAGACATGGCACCAGGATGCACAATGGGAAGAAGGCACGCCAGCGGGGGCAGTGTCATGATTTGGGCAATGTTCTGCTGGGGAATCTTGGCTCCTGCCATTCATGTGGATGTTACTTTGACACGTACCACCGACCTAAACATTGTTGTCCAAGTACACCTCTACGTAGAAACGCTTTTCCCTGATGGCAGTGGTCTCTTTCAGCAGGAAAATGCGTCCTGCCACACTGCAGAATGGTTTGAGGAACACAACGAGTTTGAGGTGTTGTCTTGGCCTCCAAATTCTCCAGACCTCATACCAATCGAGCATCTGTGGGATGTGCTGGAAAAACAAGTCGGATCCATGGGGGGCCTAAAGGGATTCAATGATCTGCTACTGATGGCTTGGTGCCAGATGCCACAGCATACCTCCAGAGGTCTAGTGGAGTCCATGCCTCAACGGGTCAGGGGGGACTCCATATTAGGCGGGTGGTCATAATGTTATGGCTGATGGTGTATATTGTATGACACTTCCAGCTCAGTACAGTCACCGGGCCCCATATGTATATTGTATGACACTTCCAGCTCAGTGCAGTCACCGGGCCCCATATGTATATTGTATGACACTTCCAGCACAGTGCAGGAACCGGGCCCCATATGTATATTGTATGACACTTCTAGCTGGAAATTGTTGTTACAAGTATCCTCATGGAAAGATTTCCCCTATGTTCCTGTTCTGGTGGCAACTCAAAATTTCAAACCCGGTGGCATTGGTGATCAGGACACCCTCCCTAACTGGGACACAGACCGCAATAAAGATCTGACGTGTTATAGTCCCCTCTCCCCTCTATCTAAAAAAACGTTTTTTTTCTTTAGTTCTACTTGACGTTATTGGCACCTCATCCCTGTACTGTATGAATAATAAATGTGAAACAGAATGCTGCTGTATGGAACTCGCCTGGTTACCTCATGTCTTTGTCATCCTAAAAAGGATCATATTACTTGTCAACAAATGGGTACATTTAACTAAAGACAATTTTTTTAAATGGAGTAGTAAGGGTTTAGAAGCTCTGTCAGGTTTATATTTCTGTGCGTGTTCAATAGAGAGACAAAGCAAATGGCTAACGCACTCATCAATTTGTTACCAGCATTACAGCAAGGTGCACATGGAAGGGCTTTAAACCGTAACAGCAAAAAGTTTCCCCGCACACTCACCAGCCAGCATGCAAAAAAACTTGTCTCACCCCTAAGGCTAAAAACAGAGGTTTAGATACACGTCTTCTGCAGAAAATTCACCAGAGAGAGTCGCCTGCTCTGCTTGTCCTGGTGACCGCTGTCATCAAAACTGAAAATTTAAGTTTTGAGTTGTCACCCGAACTGGAGTAGAGCAGAAATATACCAGTGGGGAAGCTTGTTCTGGAGACAGCTAAGGGCGGGTTCACACCATATGCGTCGGGGCTACGCTGGCCCTTGTTTCCAGTGCAGCCTCAAGGCAAGGCAATTTTGCTTTTGTCACAGATGGGCTTGGTTCACACCACTGCGAAGCACAGGCGTTGTAGTGGTGTGCGCTGGAAAAAATCGGCATGTCATACTTTTTTTCAGTGCAGTGAGATGCAACACTGTAGCACCACCTTACACCCTGCTGTGCCTTTTAGAACTTAAAGGAGAACTATGGGGTCAGGGCTTTTCCCCATAGTTCTCCTTAGGGTAACGGGAGGACACAAACTGGCGTTCTCCCGTTACACTAAGCTCAGTATACCGCGAGCTACACCTCGCGGTATACTGAGACGCCGGAGCGGATCCCGACATCAATGTCGAGATCCGCCCAGCTGCCTGAGAGGCAGAGGCAGCTGTCAATCTAGAGGCAGAGCCAGCTGTACCCACCCTCTCCCCGTCCGTTCCGCCAGTCAGCGCTGGCGGATCGGGGAGGGGGGAATCCAGCCCCTCCCACGGCAGAGAGCTGTGACAGGATGGAGAGGTGAGCGAATGCCGGTATATGTTCGCTCACCTCCCGATCTTCTGAGCCGACCTGTGACAGTCTCATTGTCACAGGTCGGCTAGAACTATGAGGTGAGTGAAAAGCACTCCTCATAGTTCTCCTTAACATCCAAGCCCATATATAATACCTGGTTCCTGCACTGAGCTGGAAGTGTCATACAATATACATATGGGGCCCGGTGACTGCACTGAGCTGGAAGTGTCATACAATATACACTCACCTCAATGAAAAGCACTCACCTCATAGTTCTCCTTTAATGAAATGTCCCTTTCAATAATGTTCTAAAAAAAGAAGTGTGATGTGTCGGGATTGTCGTGTCGGGATTGTCACATCGGCACTGTGTCGGGCACCACACAACAGCCGCTGTGCATTTAGCTCAGAATCTGGCGTAAAGAGGGGCTTTAATTTTGCTTCCTGTTGTGCCTTCGGGACAGTAAATGAAGGTAATTCTCCTCAATGGGATACAGACAGTACAAAAACTGACCATTCCCTACTCTAAAAATGTTGTGGCTTTAGAAATATTTTAAGTTGCAATGGGGCAGATGTAGTTCTCATCAGCAGGAAATAGGGATGCCAGTTTCTACGCCTATACCAGGGTGGACAAAAAATATTGAATTCAGGAGCTAGCCTGTCCAATCCAGGAGTCGGCTCTATTGACAGCAACCAGAGAAAACCTCAAAAGTTAGGCGCCAGCTGTAATTTGTAAAAACGTCAAGTCCTGTAGCACTCCTTACCGGAAATCCCAAAGAGGTTAAACGGGGGCTCGAAATGACAGCGGATGGCACCGCACATAGAACAACTTTGGATGCACGAGGCACGACAAAAAACACACGAGTCAGTGCAAATCCATTTAATGATATGTCACTCAGAAAATCAAGCGCTTTCTGGGCCACACAGGGTCCACTCAGCTTGATGAAGGGGACCCCGTGTGGCCCCGAAAGCGCTTGATTTTCTGAGTGACATATTTAATGGATTTGCACTGACCCGTGTGTTTTATGTCGTGCCTGGTGTGCTGGTGACATCTGCATCCAAAGCTGTAATTTGTAAGGGCCCATCGGCTGCCTGGCTCCTGGGATTTGATAAGGTTGATTGTGGGGGGGTTTTTTTCTTTTAAAAAAATATATAATTTCACTACACAGGAAGTGCAAGGGTTCTGCATTAATTATCAGGATTAACAAGTATTTTTCTGTATTTGCAGAAAATGTACTTAGCCTGAAAAAAATAGAAACTAATGCAGCCACCACATTTGATGATTTTAATATAACATTTTTGTTCTCAAGTTTAGAAATGTAATTTGTATTTAAATGAAATTGTAACTCCAACTCTCAAAAGAAACAACTGTCAGGTTTCTGTTAACGTTTGTGGATCGGGTAAGAGATATTTTCTCAATGCCTTGGTGACAACATTGTCACTAGTATCGGGAGGGAGGGTGAGATCTGAGTGACATATTTAATGGATTTGCACTGACCCGTGTGTTTTATGTCGTGCCTGGTGTGCTGGTGACATCTGCATCCAAAGCTGTAATTTGTAAGGGCCCATCGGCTGCCTGGCTCCTGGGATTTGATAAGGTTGATTGTGGGGGGGTTTTTTTCTTTTAAAAAAATATATAATTTCACTACACAGGAAGTGCAAGGGTTCTGCATTAATTATCAGGATTAACAAGTATTTTTCTGTATTTGCAGAAAATGTACTTAGCCTGAAAAAAATAGAAACTAATGCAGCCACCACATTTGATGATTTTAATATAACATTTTTGTTCTCAAGTTTAGAAATGTAATTTGTATTTAAATGAAATTGTAACTCCAACTCTCAAAAGAAACAACTGTCAGGTTTCTGTTAACGTTTGTGGATCGGGTAAGAGATATTTTCTCAATGCCTTGGTGACAACATTGTCACTAGTATCGGGAGGGAGGGTGAGAACAATACAGACCTCACGGAGGTTCTCAATTTGGGAGTGGTAGTGGTTTTGCACCCCTATTAAAACTACACTGAGTGGCCAGATTATTATGACCACCTGACGTTTGTAGGCAAATTAGCTATAATTTGGCGCTGAAGTTGCTAGAGGGCCAGACCATTATAAATAGGGAAGCAGGTTGTTTACCACGACAGTAGAAGAGATTTTTTTCTGAAGATACGGGGAAACAACGCAATTTAACAGCCTTTGAACGTGGGATGATTGTTGGCGCTCGGAGCCATGGAGCGAGTATCAGCAAAACAGCAGAATTCGTTAAATGTTCAAGAGCAGCTGTTGTTAAAGTGTTTAAAGACTGGACTGTCAGCCGAAAATCTGGGTCCGAACGTGCAAACTGTGGCCGTCAGCGACTAGTCAATGTTAGGGCAGAACGGAGAGTGGCAAGACTGGTACAAGATAACAGAAAGGGCAACAGTGCAGTGTCAGATTCCTCGCATCACCTTTCAACATCTCGTGGAGTCACGAGGCGGCCCAACGAAGTCATCTCGTGGCCCAACGAAGTACGGATGGGGTGGTCATAATAATCTGGCCACTCAGTGTATATAGAATGTTACTAAAAATCTGGATCCGTAACTCATCTGCATTTTGCTCTTGGTGGACCTAGACTGGTAGTTTTTACAAGATATCATGTTTTCTCTTTTTCCTTCTCTGCTATGTTAAATGCTACTTATTGGCTGCATCTTTTCATCCAGTAATTATACACCCTCTGTATCCATTTCTCTGTGGACAATGTATTACAATTACTCTGCAGACCTTTCCAACCAGTCCGTTATAGAGGTATCGGGTACATACATCCTGTGCCTGCAATCTGCATGTCATTTAAAATTGAATCAAGAATAATCAATCATAAAGCTGAAAGTACAAGATGAATACCCTCTGTAATGTGTGTGAATGCATTTTTCATTATTTCCCTTCTCCTTGCAGGAACGGATGTCGTAATTGTTAAAAATGGCAGAAGAATCTGTGGCACTGGTGCCTGCCTTGCCAATGCTCCTCTTCATCAGAATAAGAGTTACTTTGAATTTAAAGTGCAGTCTACAGGTTGGTATCCACTTATTGATGGGGGGGGTATAACCTTAGAAACTGTGCAGTAAACCCAGGATGGATTGAGGACAGAAGAAAAGCATATACTTGGCCTTCATATAAAAGCCACCTTTTTGTTCATTTACCAGCAGTGGACAAAGTTCTACACTTTTGGTAGAAGCCTTTTTAATAATCTTAGATGAACTGCACTAATTATTTATTTAAAGGAGAATTATGAGGTGAGTGCTTTTCACTCACCTCATAGTTCCAGCCGACCTGTGACAATGAGACTGTCAATGTGTGTGTGCACAGAGATGGAAAACACACAGTTGGGATTTGCCTGAAGATTATAGTGGGGAAAAAAACACTTCTTAATTTCCGCATTAAATATGTTCCTCAATAACCACAAGGGATAAAATTGCACTCGTGTGCACCAAATGTCTTTGCAAACCCAAATATTACCATGGAAAAAGTTGGGGTGACATAGACTGTGAACATCGGAGCAATCGGGCCTCAGCCAATACAGGTTGCCTGTCGAATACTACAGGAGGGGGGTGGAGACAAGACCGATCACCCTGCACATAGAGAGAGAGCAGCAGTGACCGGTCTTTATTACAGAAAGCTCCTGCACAGAGGAAACGTTTCACACTGGATTACTGCGCAGATCTTAAAGAAATACACCAAGTTCATCAAGATTCCAGTAAGGATACACACGCCTCATGTATACATGCAATGTTTGGTTGCAGATTTTAGAAAAGTGGCCTCCAGAAGGCTCCAGCCTGCTAATCCTCTTTTTAATATTGACCAGACAGTCTTTTTTTCTGTTATGCAGTGGACCGTCTAAGCACAGGGCTGGACAAATCCCAGGAGCCAGGTAGCTGTTGCTCCTTTTAAAATGTACAGATGACACCTAACTTGTAAGGTTTTCTCTAGTTGTTGTCAATGGAGCAAAAAAATTAAAAATCCTGTTAGCTCCTGGACTGGACACTCTGGCTCCTGAGTTCCATATTAACCTCCCTGGCGGTATGATTATGGAGGATTTTAGCATGCCAAAGCGGTACATCGTTTTTCATGGCAATTTGTTGTTTTATATTGTAGGCCTGTCATTCTTAGTAAATCTTAGGAATAACTCACCTAAATCTGTCCAAACAAGAGTCCAGTAGACATCCCGGGTATGATAAAGCTTGAAACACGAAATTATAATATAGTAAAAAATTATAATATAATAATTAAAAAAATGGTCCAGTAAATGGGAATTCTGGGGGCGCTGCCTGATCCGTACCACAGTCAATAGAGTACAGTAAAAGTGCAGGCAGGACACTGGACAATGCTCTAGGGATAAAATTGAAGTGAAATAGTTTGATAAATATATGTAATTATAGCAGATTACATTGTATTGTCTGTATTCTTTGTAAATGTCATGTTTTCACTTTTAAATTTCCCGCCGGCTCTGCCCCCTGCTGTGACGCCCGAAAACTAAACTGAATGCCGGCATCGGCCGGGCGAACAAAGCAGAGGACACCGCGGGCTCGCAGGGACAAGGTAAGTGACACTTTTGAGCAATCCCGAGTGTGGCTTGGGGTTTCCGCTCTTGGTACTGAAAATTAACCCTGAGCCACACTCGGGATTACCACCAGGGAGGTTAAACCCCAGGTCTAAGCAGACAGGCAATTGCCACCTGTTTTCTGCTACCATTAAGGAAACGGGAAGGAAGGAAGTGTCATAATGGCACTTAGGGGTTTGGATTAGGTAACTGACTATGTTTTCTATGAACTAGTACATTTGAATGCCTCGGCTGCTGGTTATAGGTTTAGAGTCCCTTCTAGACATGTGTATCTGTCATTTGTATGACTATAATGTACACTCGGTGAGATTAGAACATCAGTGCGATGAAAGTGAACAAACTGCAAGGACTGCATTCCTGTGCATGCGGAGATGCAATCTACTGACCTGAGCACATTCTGCCGTACAGCTCATCATTCTTATTAAGGTACATGTTGGCAGTTTGTATGCAGGACCGCAAATACAAATCATGGGGCCCCATAGCAAAAATATGATAGGGGGCTTCTCCTGACGACTTCTCTGAGCTGTGAGTAATGATGCCAAGATCCCAAAGACCCGTCTTGTGCATCTGAAGTTATCTCTACACTGTAGACTTTACAGGGGATTAGAGTTGTCAACTACAATCACTCCCACCCTTAATGATAAAGTTCATGTTCTATGTTTAATTTGTGCCAACAACATAATGGGCCCCCTTTCCACCCCCTGGCTCCATAGCAGCCACCTGGGCTGCTTTGGCTATAGTTACGCACTGTTTGTATTTACTAAAAACCCTTTTCCATCTTTGCTCTAATTAAGATGCGGCCAGCAAGAGGTATAAATTGCCCTGTGTGCAAGGGCCATTGTGGGCTAATCACTGAAAGTGGTATAACAAGACAATGGGATTTAAACTGCAACACTCCACTATACAATACACAATTTGCATTCTTTACAAAACACACGGTGATGTTATTTACACACAGTGCAGACTTGTGAACACATTGGGAGATTAAATTACTGCAGATATGTGCAAGTGTGATTCCTGTATGAACACAAAAGGTGCATTCTCTAGGAAATCAAAGTCATTGTAAATACTCAAGATATTTGATCTAATCATTTTCTATGCCAAATGATCAATTCACAGACCTAGATATGGCTAAGGTGTAAATGTATTATTTTTTCTGAATTTTACTTTGTGCATGTCCATAAACAAAAATTTAATATATTGCAGTTTATCAGTACCCAGATGTAGTGGCTGCAATTTTCTTTCAGGCTAAGAACATTTTTAATGTTCTTAGCCACCCAAGAACAGAAAGTGCAAGATAATGTAAAGGGGGGGAGCCAACATAGCCCCTCCCACTCCCAGCAATGTGTCTATAGGTGAAGCATGACTTCTAGCTACTGAGTTTGTTTCTGGCTAATTTTACTGCTACAAGCTATCCAAAGAGGACTTTCACCTTACCCTAGATATACCTAAGCCACCGAGCCTGACATCTTCCAACTTGGCAAGTTTCAGGGACCATACCCACAACATGTCATGTGGAAGACACAGGGCCAGTCTGCAATACATTTTGCACTCACCCTTGGTACAAAACTACAGCGAGGTGCAATTAGTTGAAGGGTGCTCTATGGGTCCAGGGCCATTGTCCAAATTGAACAGAAGAGTTTTGGGGGTTTGGTGGAAAAGGTGGATAATGCTATTCAGTGACTGAGAGGTCTCTGAGCAGCATCAGCTTCCTTGCTGTCATTAAGGCAGGCATCAAAATCTAGATTACATTGTATATAGATTTTTTTGAGGTGATGAGTTTAATTTTTGTAGTGATGTTTTTTCTGTAAAGCAATGCACCAGGGGAAGATTTAGTTGTACTACAGAAGCTGAATTACCTGAAATGGTAGTTGATATAAATGCTAAAAACACTATAAAATGTTTTCCAATGATTACAGGTGTTTGGGGACTTGGCGTTGCAACCCAAAAAGCCAACCTAAATCCGATCCCATTGGGAAGAGATGTGCACAGTCTTGTGATGAGAAATGATGGAGCCATCTATCACAATAATGAGGAGAAGAACAGGCTACCAGCCAACAGCCTTCCACAAGAGGGCGATGTAGTGGTGAGTAGAATCCTCTGCACTGGGTGCTATAGTGTTTGTATTGCTACTGTCCCAAAATGTTTCACTGTTAACCAAACTTACAGAATGTTGTGTTTTTAAAAAAAAATTCCAATAACTTTTATTGATGACACCAGGTAATACAACCAACATACATGTCCTTACACTTAGAGTCTGGTCGAGCTACCATTTAGTAAGCTTTTAACTGTCAAACATAGAAGGCATGAGAGGTAACAAAAGTACAGTACATATTACCTTATAATTAGCACCATCCTGAGATGGGGAAACCGGTAGGTGAAATGCACTCGGGGAAGCCATGTACTCTAGGCACTCTAGGGAGGACAAGCATAGAGAAGAGTAGCAATAGTATACCGTAACATGTGACGTCTTGTTTTCCCTTTGCTGAGGACTGCACTATAGAACTGCAATCTCCCAAGCACATATCTTCTGTATATTGGGAGCAATTATTGAACCGGAGAAGCAGAGATGTGCGGATCAGAATGATCCAAGGTGAGGGGCCAGGACCCCCGCCTCAGGTGTCATCATGCTATCTATCCATAGAAGTGCGGTGGGAGTAAATCGCCTTCTGAAGTCGGGGCCTAGTTATGGTTTACTGGGACATGTGCCGGAGATAACTATCCGAGTCACAAAAGCATACCAATGGCGCCCAAGTGGAGTTAAACTGCTCCTCAGTATTTTTTTCAGGGAGGCAGTCAGATCGTCCATCCTATAGATATCATTCACCCTGGAATACCAAAGCTGCATAGTGGGAGGTTGGGGAGACTTCCATAGCAGTGGAATTCAGGCCCTAGCAGCATTCACAAGATGTACCGTGAGGGGGGTTATGTATCTAGCCAGTGAACGCCTGGGCATGTGCAGTAGGCAGGCGGCTGGGTCATTGTGCAGGTCCACCATGGTCAGGGAGCGCACCACCTCGCCCACTGCATTCCAAAAGCTGCGCAGTTTTGTGCAGGACCAAAAGATATGCAGCAGTGTGCCGGAGAGGAATCGCACCTCCAACACATGGGGGAAATGGAGGCGTCAGAATGCCCGTACAGTGACTACAACTGATTGGCTGCAGTCACTATTCAGCTGGCAGTTTTTGGCCTTGCTCCTTCGACAAAAGCTTCATAGATCAAACATGGAGCTTGGTAATTGCACTAATAAGATGAAATGTCCAATGGACAGCACGATCACTGTACTCGTGCATGTTTTAGACTGACGTACGTGCACAAGTAAAAAAAAAAAGTTTTTAATGTCTTCCTGCCCTGGGAGGGCTGCCATTCTTTCATTTATATGAAACGGGCAGACGGCAAGTGGTTAAAGAAAATGCCTTACTTAAAGCGACAAACCTCATGAGTCCTAACTTTTTTTTTTTTACACTGCAGATTTAAAAATGTTTTATGTCTGGTGTTCTGCTTTAAAATGGCTCATAATGCAAATTGACACATGAGAAATGTCTATGGTATGACATAACGTATCCATAGAAACCGTATGAATGCTACGCCGTGCAAGTGAAGATGAAGTAACACTCAAAAAAAAAAAGTTCATACAAAATGTTTTTAATTAACTCATTAAAGGAGGAGGGGCCGTGACATTCAGAATGGCCGTGCAGTGAGGAGAGCAGTCCTTTTAGAAATGCTGCTTGCCTGGCTTTAATTCTGATCCAACATCTTCAATACTTTGAGCTATTGATCCAGTAGAAGTACACAGATCGGGAGACACGGATCCTTTTGCTTCCTGCTTGTTCTGGGACGGTGACTCAAAATATTGAGACCAGAGACAGGCAAATACTATTTTTACAAGGAGACTAGCATGGCATTCTCCATATGTTACTCTGCATAGGTGCTTTAAATTGCCCTGTCTGGCACAGTGTGTGTCCTCCATTGCTCTCCACAAGCTTTAACATTGAAGTAGGTGCTGGAATACTAGAGCATAGCTTGGCGCATGCATTGGGCTTAAAAACTTTTTTCCGTGACATGTTTTGATGCACGCACCATATTGTGAAGCTTGTTGGGAGTGCAGCATGACCAAAACACAGTGCTGGCCCTCAAATTTATGGGGGAAAAAAAGAAAATTGCTTGAGTGCTTTAAAGTACACATTTCTATTATTGTTCATATCCTGTTTGGGTTTGCTACATGGAAATTGTAGATTTATACCGAAACCTCAGCCTCTCCACCCAAACACAGTTGCAAAACAAACACACACACACATACAAACCTTAATTCCAGAAAAACTTCTAACTAAAAAGATAAAGTACATATCAGGGAGATGTTTTATCTGCCAAAGCATTTGCAATTTTTAATGCAAAACTGCTCTGCTTTAAGACTTATGTGGTGTTGGAATTGTTTTGGGATCAAGTTGTGCTCCTTTTTATTGTAAAACTTGGCTAACACAGAGCAACATTGTTCCATACTTTTATTCAGTAATTTCTATTTCTATCCCTCCATTAAACACTGATTAATTATTTTTATTTTTTTTCCTTTAGGGCATTACCTATGATCATGTAGAATTAAATGTGTATTTAAATGGAAAGAATATGCATTGTCCTGCATCGGGCATAAGAGGGACAGTCTTTCCTGTTGTATATGGTAAGTGATATGTTTAAGGCTGTATTGTTTTTCTAAAACAATACACACCAATGATTTTAGGACAGTGGTGAAGTGCCAGGGCCTGGCCCCAGCTGTAAACACTGCCCCCCTGGTATTTCTGCCACTGACTCCAAGCTGTAGAGGGACTATAAATCTCAGCAACACATTATTCAGCAATGCAGAATAATATGAAGCTACATACTCTGTTCTGCTCCGGGGTGCCGGGCTGATGTCTCCAGCGGAGGATCTCAGAAGGGCTTCACCAGCAGCCTAAATGTAAAAGAAAAATCTGTTTAATTATTGAAAGTAAAATGATTTCATATCCGCATGCAGATCTGTATGCTGATGTGATTTTTAGTTAAAAGGGGGTAAATGTCCGCTTTAATGCAACATGTGATTCATGCATCGCAATGAGCTGGCTTGGTGTGAATGGACAATTTAAATATCCAAAGATTTGTGAAAGAACAATTAGACCAATCCTTTTTTTTTTGCATCTAATGTGTAGGGCTGTAACCAACTTATTGATCAATTATGATGACAGTTGTCAACTATTCTCATTATCGATTAGTTGGTTGGATCCCCTAGCTCTCTCCTCCATGCTGGGAGGAGGGCACAGCAAGCAGTGGGCGGATGCAATAGCCAGCCTTTTATTGCAATTTGAAATGGCCAATAGCAGGCTGGCTATTGCACCCGCCCACTGCTTGCTGTATTTCCATTCAGCTGCCGTCTGTGGAATCTTGGCATTGGCAGCTGTCATTCCCTGGCTGAAGCTATTCAAGCGCCATGTGCTTACAGTACAATTATTAAACAAAAAATTATAAAAGGTTGGAAAAAAGTCATTTTCGGTTTCAGCCTGACATTCTGCTGCGGGAGGTGCGTTGCAGTGCCGTTCAATTCAATGGCACCCCAAACGCGCCTCCCACCCACAGTGGCAAAAAGTTTCCCAGCACACTCACCAGCCAGCATGCAAAAAAACTTGTCTCACCGCTAAGGTTAAAGACGGAGGTTTAGTTAAACGTCTTCTACAGAAAATGTGAAAGCCGCACTGCCTCGCCAAGGCACCTCTATATAGTGCGGTCCTAACTCTAAACTCCATCTTGGAGCACATGTGGCAAAAGATCAAATTGGGTGCAGGTTTGTCAGGAGGAAGCCCAACCTCACCTAAAGGCACAGAGACACACAAGGGACACCGCACATCACAACGGCAGCTGAGACGACCCCCCTCCATGCGTCACTGCAGCAAATCGGTCAAGCAAAACAAATGGCAAACGCACTCATCAATTTGTTACCAGCTTCACAGCAAGGTGCACATGGAAGGGCTTTAAACAGTAATGGCAAAAGGTTTCCCAGCACACTCACCAGCCAGCATGCAAAAAAACTTGTGTGATCGCCCACAATGGAGCGCACGGTACCACAATGGTGTATGTTCCAGTGCAGTTCGATTGCAAAAAATTGTGCAAGCATTTTTATTCTGAAGTAAACTTTGTAACACTGCATTTGGTATTTAATTTGTTTCGATTAATCGAGAAAAAAAATTGGCCAACCAATCGATTATGAAAATCATTAGTTGCAGCCCTACTCATGCGTACATCCATATGAACTTTGACATGCAATTTCAAAACTCATTGGCAATTATTTTACATCTTCAGATCATATTAAAATAAGACATGGTGACCCTGAGTTATTAATTTTTGTCTGCTGTTTTAAAATGAACATATTACATTTTTATAGGCCCGTATGAGAAATCTGGATAGTTGTGGATGTGGATAGTTGTGATACATGCAGCAGGCAGACAATTGTAATCTGGTGTGTTTGAGTAACCAGTTGTGTCCTGGTTTTTCTTGCAGTGGATGACAGTGCGATCCTGGACTGCCAGTTCAGTGAGTTTTACCACACTCCTCCACCTGGATTTGAGAAGATCTTATTTGAGCAGCAGATTTTCTAACGACTGGGTCCCCACACTGTTCCCAAAGCTGATGATTTCTATTTAAGCTGCACGATGCATACTGAACATGTGCTTTGTATTTTTATCTCAGTGGGTGCAGGTCTTTCAGATCTTGTGTGTGTGTGTGTGTGTAAGTATTTTACAAAGCATTGCCTAGCTGCAATTGCCGCTGTCCACAAAGCCGTGTAGATATTATCTGATATTTTTGTGAAATATATAGTCATTTTAGGCAAATTGTTAGTGTTGCTGATTGTAAATAGGATGTTTTTGCCAGTGATTAAAAGTGAACCAGTTGGCCATTTTTTTTAACTTTTGAAAATAAAAGTGTTACATAAAATCAGACACTGCAAGATGCCTAAGAATACCTAATTAGCCTGAAATGCTTCCTCCGTGTGCTTCCTTTAAACTAGTTTTACTTTGTTACTGGGGTCTAAGTTCTGCCAACTATGGTCCACTTCTCCAGTGCCAATAAGGGCACCCTCGTTGGACAACCTGAGTGGCAGTTGCTAATGCTTAGCCCAGAAGTAAGGCGCTCAAAGCAACCCTCGGACTGAACAAAAAAAAAATAGAACAAATTTCTCCATCAAGGCCTATGAGCATTGATCGAGGAATCCCCACTGTTTCCTTTGCATTGTCACAGCGGCCGCCGGTATCTCATTAGCTGACGTCTCTGTTCGTTCAAAGATTTTTAGACCGGCTCCTTCAAGCAGCGGATCGAGGGATGCCAGCCGAAAGGGTGCCGACAGTAGTACCCATTGTGCAGAATTCGCATAATGTATGGCCGGCTTTAGAGAACCTTTAAAAATGTAAGAGAGCCTCTCCTGTGGCTTCACTGATAAGTTTTTGGCTAAGGCTTCTTCAAAAACAGACACTGTTAGGGCTCATTCACATAGCGTAGAGTGGGGGCGTACAGATCCGTGCAGCGTGCATGGCCATATCGGGCCGTTCCTGGGAAAGACAGGTGCTGCGTGTGATTGTATGCAGCAGCCTGTTCTTCCCTATGAGAGGACGTGGCCGTACGTTGTCGTACGCTCGTCTTGTCTGCATCCGAGTATGGATACACGCTCCCGCACGGATGTGCAGCTCAGGTGAGCGTACGACAGCATACGGCCGCGTCCTCCCATAGGGAAGAACAGGCTCCTGCGTACAATCACACGCTGCACCTGTGCTTCCCGGGAACGGCCCGATGCGGCCATGCAAGTCGCACGGATCTGTACACGGATCTTAGGAGTGTCATTCCCCTGGCCCCCCACCATGCTCAGTGGCTCCTCCCACTGACCCCCCTCACCAATGTCTGTTCGGCAATGACGCAGGGGTTGGCAGGAGGACCCATTGAGCACCTTGGAGGACTAGAAAATTGACATTCCTGGGAGTGTCTGTTTCTGAAGAAATTTCAGCCAGCAGTTGTGCATCAATGAAGCTGCTTCAGTGGCACGAAAGGTAAATATTTACAGGGACAGTCTTAATTTAGACTTTTTCATTTTGGCGACAGAATCGCTTCAATAAAGAAAGTAAACCTACTCTGAGAGAAGCACAAGGGGGAGGTTTTTCTGAGTAATTAGTAGGGATTTCCCGATACAATTTTTTCAAGTACAAGTACTTTTCCTCAGGTACTTGCCGATACCAACGGACTAATTGTTTTAGGGTGGTTTCTTTATAATTATGAAGAACTGTAACTCATTCCATGATTATTCAGCAATGGAGAATGGCAACCAGCAATAGAGGACTACTAATCTCAGCAATCTATGATTATTCAGCAATGGAGAATGGCAACCAGCAATCGTGGATTGCTGAGATGTGTACAGACATTCCTCGGTTACCGACTTACCTGCTTTGCGACCATTTGCACTTACGACGGACCGCCGATCGACCTCCGACCTTGCGCGTCAGCGTGACGTGTCGCCAGCGGAAGTGATGTCCTCCGATCTTCACTGCGGGTCCCGGTAAGTGTTTTCATTGCCCGATGTACAGTACACTGTTCGGTACTGTACATCTGCAACGCTATACAGTACTGTACTAGTACAGTACTGTATAGAGTTCCTCACTTAACGACCAATTCGTTTAACGACCTGGTCGTAGGAACGGAACTCAGTCGTTAAGTGAGGCATACCTGTAGTCCTCTATAGCCGGTTGCCATTCTCTATTACTGTATAATCATTGATCCCATCAATCCATGATTATACATGGTTGTGTTTTGGGTCTCGCCAGGGCTGCATGTGGGGGCCGGGCTCCAGGGCTGTACGGCAGTGTGGGACTGTCCTTTGCTGTATTCCTTTGTCTTTGCGGGAACCGGAAAAGTGGCGTAGGAGATGTGGGGTCAGATCGGCGATGTCAGACAGCTACCGCGAGGTCCCCAGCAAGCGTGAGACTTAAGGCAGCCGACCATGTTTAAAAATTTAAAGGGCTGCTATCGGCCTTTAGTATCGGGGTATTTTCACGAGTACTCGTGAAATTGCCCTGTATGGACCCTATCGGTATCGGGGCATCCCTAGTAATTAAAGTAATAGCAAGTACCTTGTAGTGCCTGTTCTTAGGCAGGATGTTTTTATTTTTAAAAAAGGCCAACACGTTCACTTTGAAGGTGTTCTCCAGAAATGTATCACATTTTCCACTTCCAAAAGTGGAGGTGCTCAGCAAGTTATAGCTTTCTGCTGGCAAGGGAGGACTGGGGGCTCTGTAGAACCTGAGTACCTATCTGAAATTAAAAGTATTGAGTAATGCCGAGGCAGGCACCCTTGGCACTCCAGCCGTGCTGAAGCTACAAATCCTGTCATGCTTGGGGCTGTCAGTCTTGCAAAGCCTCATGGGACATGTAGTCCCACAACAGCTGGAGTGCCAAGGTTGCCTTCCTCTAGATTAATGATCACTATTGAAATGGACTGGTTTATAGGAGTGGCGCTTTTATAGATGATTAGAAGCCCTCATTCACACTAGAAACGGCCGGCACATACAGCTCCGTGCTGTGTGCACGGCCGTATCGGGCAGTTCCTGGGAAGGACAGGTGCTGCGTGTGATTAGTATGCATCCCCCGTCCTTCTCTATGGGACTACGCGGCCATACGCTCACCTCAAGTGCAGGTCCGTTCGGGTGCGTGTTTCCTGGCTCGGACACAGACAGGATCTATCCTGTCAGCGTACGAGTACACTCACCCGCACAGACGTAGGGGGGCGTATGGCCTCGTAGTCCCATAGAGAAGGACTGGATGTGTAATAATCACACGCAGCACCTGTCCTTCCCGGGAGCTGCCCAAAATGGGCGTGCACGCAGCACGGGTCTGTACATGCCGCCCGTTTCTAGTGTGAATGAGGGCTTAAAGTGATACTAAACATAAATCTCTGAATTGAAGCTGACACTTTCCTTCCTTCTGGAGGGTGGCTACTTTTATTCCCCATGGTCCCTGTGTGTGTTGTAAAGTAGCCACCGCTCCAAGCTCGCTCCTGTGATGGACTACAATCTCATGTTTAGTCTACTAATTTGCATTAAGATTGTAGTCCATCACAAGGGTGAGCTTGGAGCGGTGGCTACTTTACAATACACACAGGGGCCATGAGGAACAAAAGTGGCCCCCCTCCAGAAGGAAGGACATTGTCGGCACCAATTCAGAGATGATTTGGGGATCTATAGCCGAGTGATAAACAAATAAGATAAATTTTTTGTTAATAGTTATGGTACTTGAATGTATTTTTAAGTTTTTTAACACCTGAGTTTAGTGTCACTTTCAGTTCTCCACAAATCTGTGGCATGCTTTTTATTTCAGCATTGTGCTCAGCGTTCTCAGCCGTTGGCTCACTGAAACCCCATGCAGCACTGAGCGTTGAGCAGCAATTCACAGATCAGCCCCCTCCACAAGTAGAGATTTTTTTTTTCCTGGAGGACCTCTTTAAAATGTTGACCTTGACCCAGTATTACCTGCAGTCTTTTCTTTCTCAGTGATGGCTCCATATTTTGCACACATTTGAACACACAGGCTTATTTTTCATAATGACATATTTAGTTTTAGTGGAGTGCGATGTGTCAGTGTAGTGGGGTCTTGTCTTTCGTGTAGCACTCTTGTAATGACTGTGTTTCCTACTCTCTGATGCTTCAGTCCCAGAGTGCCTTATGAAACGTCATGCTGATGAGAGCATGAACATTAGATAAGTGTTTTGTATACAACATACCAGTGTGCCTGCATGGATACTCACCGTGTTTGTACTGTACTTTTGTTTATAAGATTTCCAAACACAAATGGCCAGTTATCAATTTGTCCGTTGCTTTCTGTTGTGATTTCGCAAAAAAGGTGGTCACATGAGGCACACTGGGATTCACACAGCTCTGATCACTTTTCTTTGTATGGATTGTTAAAGAAAAAAACCAGTATATAAAATGTCTATGTGAACAAGCCTATAAAGCTAGCTTTGGATCTGCAACACTGGAAAGGAAGGTCATTAGGCATGTCGTCCATTCAGGATAATGTCATGGATATTTTTCTTACCGGTCACTGTGTTCTTTTAGTTGTGCTCCAATTCTTAGTCGTATTGTTGCTAATGAGCTATTATCTCAAGGCTTTAAATAGAAAATCCTCCCAAAACATCATGGGCAGGGTGCGTAAGAGGTTAATTTACATAGCTTGGATGTTTGCCAGTCCATGCATCTTCCAAGCATGTGTTATGATGGTCCAGCAGTTCCACCCGCTGCATGTTGAATGCTACTTTTCTGTGTGAATCTTTCATTCACTTGGAAAAAACATTTCCAGGTGTCATTCCTCCTGATTTTTCTTTTATTCATATCTAATTGGGCTCCTAGTAGCCTAGCCATGCCTAGCTGGCACCTATGTTGTGTGGGGAGCTGGGATTTACCCTCTACCCTTCTCTAGTAACATGCAAGGAGGACTTTTTCTTCTCTCCCCCCATTGTAGTATTAGCCCAAACTAGTTTTTTCTGTGTGTCATGATTTTGTTGCTGAAAATGGAGAAACAGAAGAAGTAGGACACAGTACATGCATGCATTATTTTATTCATTTTGCACTAGGCCCGAACACAGGCATTGGGCGTGGCTGCAGTGTCATTGACTTCAATGCACGGCCACACCCCCTCCCACACCTAAATGCAGGAAGCTGGCCAGGATGCATTACAGTGCATTCCAGCAGCTAATCGCGCTGGATCACTCTGTATATGGAACCCTTAGTCCTCTTTTCGGTCAAAAGAGTATATTTACTAATGTTCTCCCGTGACCCAAAGTCGGCTACTGTCCGCTATTTGCTGCAGCCGGGGAAGATCCCAACAATATTGTCAGGATCCACCCTGCTGCTTGCTTGACAGCTGGGTCTGCGTCTT